CATTTACATGATTCGTACACTTTAAACTCCCTTTCAGGCTGAAAGGGACTGAAAAAATTCATACCGAGAGATTCTTTTAATTCCTCTCCATATATTCTATTCTCCATGGTTTTATTATTTACAGTGTATTATGCTTCTAAATAAAAGATTTATTGAATATTTGACAAAAGTACTAATCAGCAAAATTGCTTGCTTAAAAAATGTGTTTTTCAACCAAAACATAAAAAATCTGTCCGGAACAGAAATAATTATTATATGAGCAAAACGTAAAATGTTGCAAACAAAAAATTCTTCCTTTTATATTATTTTTTAGATATCACAAAAAAGTTGTATCAAGTATTTGTATGAAAAATATTTTTAAACTGTGTATTTGTCATATTGTCTAGAGCAGAGTATCTGTATTCTGTATAGTTGCTGGTTTGGCAGTTTGGATTGGGCGTGGAAAATTGTATACAAGTAAACTGGTTTCCCGTACACAATTGTTAACAATGGAACTGGTTTCCTAATGTAGCGTTGATTTCAAGCTACATCTGGTAAACAACCAATATCTAAATATATTTAGTATAACATACAGCGTATCTATAAAACTTTGAAATCTATATATACTTTCCTTGTCCGGGTGTTTGTTTGTATTAATAAACGTAAAAACGGCTGAACCGGTCGGGCTTTCATTTTTTGAAGGACCTCGAGGGACCTAAGAGAAGGTGTTTGGATGCTCATCTACATAAAACTTGTCTCAAAAAAAAATGATCCTAGAAAAAAAAACAAAAAATCCTTTAAATCCTTCGTTTTAGTTTTATACTATACGAAGAACAAATGCTCACAGACAAGGCCACAATTAAGAGGTGTGGAAATAAGAGATGGGCGGGAAGCGCTCTAACAGCCTAGTATGTAAAATTAAGCCGAGCCGGCTGCTTCAATCTACACCGACAGTAAAAACGTCATTCATCATTTTTTAAGGTACCGTAATGCATCTTTAAAGCGATTGCCAGCAACAAAACGTATACTAACATAATAAAAATATAAAGAAAGTTTTTAGTTTGAGAAAAAAGGACAAACATAAATTAGTCTTTTTTTTTAAGTCTGGAAAGGTGTTCAAGAAAAATATTTAAACATTTCTTTTTTTAATCAAAATCAAACAAGGACAATTATAAATTACGAAGAGAACAGAACTGTGTCTACCCTAGGAAACGGATAAGATAAAAGTCTGAATGATAAAATAGATTAAGTTTAAATGATCAATATTTTATTTTCACCAAAACATTGTTTATCAGCAATTTTTCTGATAAAACCCCAAACGATCAATTAATAAACGAAAAACTGTTTTAATCCTAATCAAACAAGGATATAATAAATATCCTGAATCTGATATATCTTTATAAGATTTTCAAAACCCCCGCTGTAGTTTAGAAGTCTACGAGAAATATCTAATATTTAAAATCCAAAAAATTTACAGGGAAAAAGTTTTAGTGGGAATATACAAGGTTACCCACAAAGGATAAGACTCCAAAGACGACTGTTAGGAATTTATACTGTCTGTTCCTTATACTTGAAACAGAAGGCAGTAGTTGTATAAATTCATATTAATGTGTAATGTATTTTTGACTACCCTGTGTATGCTCTCTAACTAACAGTATAAATGATAAATGAATATATTTGTGTTCTCCCAGATTAGACATACTTAGTTAGTCAATAATAATGATACTATAAACCAGAAATATATAATATTTTATTAGAGAATTATTAATTTCCAATTTTCAATGGGTGGCTAAAAAAGTATTTCCGATTCCAACTTTTTTTATTATCCCATAATTAGAGGATTAGACACAATAGACTAATTTTTTATATTTGATGCTTTTTACTAAATATCACTGAGAGTTAGGGACCAAACGGAAACATGAAATTGATTAAAAGAAAAATTCGCAAACTGCATATTCCAGGCTGCTATAAATTTAAGACTTTAGTTTTAAAGAAGTAATTGGCAAAATTCTCATCGAATTTGGTGTGAGAAATGTGGAATAGGAAGACGACTTTTAGGCTCAAATTATGGTTTACTATAGTTCATTGATCATGGGAAATAGCAATTATGCTGTGAATACATGAACCATTTCAATTTTAGAAAAGTGTTTTTTTATACAAGTAAAAAAATGTGCGTTGTGACAACATTTAATCTACATAAATATTGATTTAATGTCGTCTTCCTATTCCGCAGTTTTCTGGTTCTCGCTGTAGACATCTGTGATTGTTTAAACGCATAGATCAAACTTCTATCGAGAAAAATATTTAAATCATGTACAGGGTTACCCACAAAGTAAGAGAAATCTGAGACGACTGTTAGGAAATCGTTGAGTCATATTTCTTACATTTTTAAATTCTATCAATTGTAAACTTGTTTCTTTCGTAGTGAAATCATCTATATTATATGGTAGTAATCTCTGTTTGTTTGTATGTATTTCCGATCATGACTCAGGAACTCCTTTATTCAAATTTTTATTGGGAAACTCTGCAAGAACCACAGCAATGTTCTTAGTTAGGTTTAAAAGTTCTTAGTTTGATATGTTGACTCTTATAAAGAAAACATTTAACATTTTTAAAGAGTTTTTCTAAGATTTCACTACCTCGACACAGGATGTCAATATATATATATATATTGACATCTCGTTGGTCACCTTATTTCTAGGATTTCACTACCTCGACACAGGATGTCAATATACATATATATATTGACATCTCGTTGGTCACCTTATTTCTAGGATTTCACTACCTCGGCACAGGATGTCAAATTGTCAATATATATTTATATATAAACTCGTTGGTCGCTTAATTTCTAGCGGAACTAATGTTTTATATTATTAATCCAATTTAAATATAAATCATGGCAATCCAACCACATTTCGTAATTCTAGGGTGGGGCCTTTTTAGTAATAAACCCCCACTGCGCGGATGCTTAAAGCCCCCCCCCCCCGGCTAGGTGGATCCCCCCCCGGCTAGGTGGATCGGATATAGTTTACGGATGTCCGATCCTGAATTCCTTGGTTTGGTTGATAAATCAAATGTTTATCTTTGTTTTCATTAGATTTTCCAATCCGAGCCTTTATCCGGTAGTTTCTGGGCCTTCCGGCTAGACTGGGAGGGTGGAGAATGGGGAGGGGCATTAAATGGGATCATGGGAAGAAAAATTTAAGCCGTGGTGGGAAGGGAAAAGGGACCAATATATGGAGAGAGATATAAAATTGAGAAAACTGAAAAAAAAATAAGATTAAAAAAGAGTGCATTAAAGGAAAATGAGAAGGAAGGAATACTCACTGAAGGAGAATATGTCGCGACATAACTGAAAGGACTTTGTAACCTCGTATCTCCTCTAGTTCTTATTTTACACAGAGCTAGAAGTATAAATATAAATATTATAAATTCAAAACATTAAAATAAAAATGAATTTGATTGAAAAAATGTGAGATTATTCAATCGTACGTAAAATTTACTTGTTAAAGTAAATATCGTTAAGGTACACTTTGCGTGTACTGTAACGATCAAGAGAAAAGTATGTGATTAAGGAAGGAATCAAAAAGAGAATGAACGAGAAATGGGTCAATTTGATTTCTTTCCCACAAACAAACAAACAAACCACCCTCCCAACCCTCAGGCTCTATCTGTTCTCCTTATGTAATAAAGAAACTCAAATTTATTCTTTCAAATGTTTACAATGCTTTTATTGGACTTAATTTGTAAACAATATATAGAAAATACAATAGAAATATAGAACTAGGCTAATAATGCTTTCAGTTATTTGTCCCATGATTTTTTGTTCATTCAAATTCAAAAGTTTGTTTAGAATTGCTTTTTTTACGGTTAAGAAAGGGCCCTTCATCCGGGCCCAAGCTATATTTACAGTTATTAAATACGAAATAATACCAATACCATGGATACAAAAATGATATTACGAAAGCTAAGTATTTCAGTGCAACATCCCCCTCCCCCTCTCCCTCTGAACATTATGAATTTTCTGACTTTGTTTAATTTTATTATCATTTATTTTTACTTTAATAATTAAATTTGTCATAAACACGTACACATATATTTTAACTTTTAAATCATTAAAAACGAATTGTCATACAGTATTTTATTATGATTTTGTCGTTTGTGAATGTGAACTGTCTAATGAATAATGTATAATGTCAATTTTATTTCTGAATTTATTTCAAAATTAGATTATTTTAGTCTTTGGATTAGAAATCATTCCTGGTTTCACATAGATTCAGCCTGCTTATAATAAGTATCATCAAGTTTTAAGACAGGGTTGACTTTGTACTAACGCAACGTCTTGGGCGTTGATTTTACCGCTCTAACTGTATTATGCTTTTTGTACCACTTTACATGTACATTTCAGCACTATATATCTCATGTTATTAACTTTAGTTTTTAAGAAGTAATTGGCAAAATTTTCATAAATGTTTGCTTGAGAGCTGAGACCTTTAGATCAAAGTGTTTTTTGGTCGAATCATACCTTTCTTTAGATTTCCGTTTCTAAAAACTGTTACGCGACCGTCAAAAAGTTGACAAAAACACAACAAAACCTTGAAACATAATCTTAACACTAAAAATTGTGCAGAAAAATGGCACAGAGAACATGAATAATATTAATATAAATGTTTGAGATAAATTGCCAATAATTATAATTATTTCTTGTAACATAACACTTTAGAAGTAAAACTTAGTTTTTGTTTAGGATGAAAATAGATTTTCGTTAAAAATGGCACTAGTAAATTGATCTTTAAGAATAAAATCGAATTTTTAAAGTAAGAAAAATGGTGCTGAGGTACTAAAATGGTGCGCAAAAACTGTAGCTGATGTGTTTATCCGAATTTAAGTAAACAAGCATCCCTCTCCTCACGCCACCTGTTTACCGCTGATCTGTTGATTGGTCCATCTGCCCGACGCGGACCGACCTCCCCGGTATATAATCAACAGGAATCCGCAAGTTGAATCAGTTACCATTCGACTTTCGTCTAGTAAACATGGACGCATACAGGGCATTAAAACTTAAATACACGCTGGTCCACACATCATATAGTGACTTTAAACTGGAGAAGTTTGAACCTGCGGCACCAGCAACAGCCGACATTCTTGAGAATGAGTTTCTACGAGGATACATGACAGGGTTCACCCCCCTCCCAGAGCTACAGTCTGAACCTCTGGATCTCAGTTTAAAGATTAAGTCGGAGTATCAGCTTCCGCAATCCTTCTTCTCTCCGTCAGGGTCAACCTACTCCGAGACCTCCTGCTACTCCCCTGCTTCATCCTTCTCCTCCTCCTCCTCTCCTCCTGTATCTCCTGCCTCCTCCTTCTGCTCCGACATCTCAATCCCTGAGATTGATGTTAAGATATTCAACACAACTCCTTCAAAGTATCAATGTGCAGAATGTGGAAAATATTTTGCTTCAAGTTCCAACTTGTCACGACACAAACAAACCCATAAAGCTCTAACACCTGAAAATGCTAAATCTTGTCATATTTGTAACAAGAAGTATGTCAGCACTCCTGCTCTTTCAATGCATATTCTAACCCACAACCTCTCACATAAATGTGATATTTGTGGAAAAGGATTCTCCAGACCCTGGCTTCTACAAGGACACATGAGAAGTCACACCGGAGACAAACCTTTTGGATGTGCTCAATGCGGGAAACGGTTTGCAGACAGATCCAACTTGAGAGCACATATGAAGACCCACAAATAGAATCCTATTACTAATGTATTAAAAAGAAGAAACCAAAAATCAGCATTCAGTGTCAATATTTAGTCAAATATGGAATTATAAAGTACAAATTATAAATATATATTAACTACCTCTATCAAGACATTCGATTATTCATTTATTTATTTTAAAACTTTTAGAAAAATTAAACTAAAGAATAACACGTCTCTAAGCAGAATAAATAAATAAGATAAGAGAGAGTTATAAAGAAAGAATAAAAAGTATAGTTAGGAGGAATTAGATTTGGTTTAAAAAGGAGAAATATTATAATTAAAGCGCTAGTTAGCTATTGAAGAATATTTTTAATTATTTCTATTTTAGATAATGAATGATTATTAATGAACGTGTTTACATATAGATGATTCAATTCATTTCCTACCCCTCCCCCCCTCCATCCTTCTTCCTCATTTACTCAGCATCCCCTCTTCCTCTTCCTTTTCCTCATCTCCCCGGCTAGGTGGATCCCCCCCCGGCTAGGTGGATCGGATATAGTTTACGGATGTCCGATCCTGAATTCCTTGGTTTGGTTGATAAATCAAATGATGGCAGCTGGCCGGGTTAGATCTTTAGCCTGTAACAAGCTGACCCTTGAACCACCTGCAGCCGGCAGGGGTCAACCTATCCCAGTAGCAGGTTGGTGGACTCCCCCCCCTCTACCCTGGACCCCACCCATTCAAAGAACCCGCACACTAAGATATTATCTAACGAGGGCAGATTTTTCAATTGAATGAACCCAAAATACAACCTTTGGCAGGTGCTTAGACACTGAGATAACAGGGGCAGATGGATAGATAGATAGAATTATAGAGATTAAGAGAATAGGAGATAATGATAAATCAAATGAGAGAATAAAGAAAATATAAGGAACTCTATAGAATAAGGTTTAGTGTTCACAATTCACAATTTTGGTAAAGGAACCTTATAAAGCGGGATTAATAAAACCGTGATATAGGATGTCGTCATTCAACCAATCGTATGCGCGTATTTGATGTAGTTATGAATCAATAGGGATTATCAGTAGCTTGAAAATCAATGATTAAGTAAAATGGGTCTGTGTACAATGCACAATTGCTGTGTTTTGTGTTCAGTGGATTTTTTAAAATCATAACAGTCGTTTTGTATTCTACAATTTTATGGGTTTCACTACAGTGATAACAAAAAAATTCTGGAATAGAAAGTCCAAGTTATGACTTTAAATTGTCCAATATGTTGTTGTAAACAGACTCATTTCCCTTAATAAATGATTAAATAAATTACTAGTAAAGCTATTTTCTTCGTTACATCATCAAGGCACTTCAGTATTGCTTTAATGTCGACTTTTCTGGTTATCACTGTAGTACAACAGGGTTTAATCAAAATAACTTTAATCCTGCATGTTGTTTAGAATTCAGAATTTCATTAAATGACTGATTACTTGCCCCACGCTCTAAATTTCTAATTCCCATAGCAAATTACAAGCTTGGAAAAAGTTCATAGGTTTACAGCCTCAGGTGTTACAAAGTTATCTCGGATTAGAAAAGTAATGTTTGAGGCTAGTTTTTATATTGCTCCATTGCTTCGTACCTGGTCCTAATGGCCATATAGAAGTTTCAGGGACATCGATCATTGACTTTTTGGACCATAGGAGAAAAAAATTGTGATTAAAAATGTAAATTCATTAATTTTTTAAAAATTCGATATTTTAAAAGAAATATTTGTAATTTCTGGTCATTTCTGTATTCCAAAAATTCATTGATATATCCAAGTATTTAATAATATAACGAAGTATTTATTAATATATCAAAGTATTTCTTGAGATATGCAAGTTTTATTGATATATCCAAGTATTTATTGATATACCCAAGTATCCATTGATATATCCAAGTATTTAATTGCATATCCGAGTATTTATTAATATATCCAAGTATTTATTGATATATCCAAGTATTTAATTGTATATCCAAGTATTCATTGATATATCCAAGTATTTATTAATATATCCAAGAATTTCTTGAGATATCCAAGTTTTATTGATATATCAAAGTATTTATTGATATATCCAAGTATTTAATTGTATTGCCAAGTATTCATTGATACATCCAAGTATTCATTAATATATTCAAGTATTTAATAATACATCGAAGTATTTATTAATATATCCAAGTATTTAATAATATATCAAAACATTTATTGATATATCCAAGTATTTATTGATATATACAAGTATATATTAATATATCCAAGTGTTTATTCATATTGTGTATTGATATATATAAGTATTTACATATATTTTAAAGTATTTTTTGAAATATCCAAGTTGTTAGTAGTATATCCAAGTATTTACCTGTATATATTCAAGTATTTATTGATATATTCAAGTATTTATTGATAAATCCAAGTATTTGATAGTATATATCCAAGTATTTATTGATATATCCAAGTATTCATTTTTTTAAGATCTATATATTTATTTTATGCTAATCCATTTAAAGATTTCAACAGGTTTACAATACAGTTACAAGATATAGCATTACATTTTCATCATTTTCATAATTTCCCTCAATCTTAAATCTAGTTCCGCCTTTGTAGGTCTTTGTTCAGGCTCGGGGACAGGCACAGGATTAGGTTCAGGTTCAGGGTGGGGATGAGGTTCAGTTTCAGGTTCAGTTTCAGGTTCAGAATCAGGGTTAGGGTCAGGATAGGGTTCAATTTCATACTCGGAGCTTTCATGTCTATTTTCCCCGTCCAGCTGAGGAATAGGAAATGATACTAAAGATTGAAAGTGTGTCTTTCTCTTCTTATGGGAGGTTAAATTTGAGGTTTTTTCAATACTTGGCGGTATCACAGAAATTATCTTAAGGGCCTTGAACCCTTCCTTGGACTGGGGGCCTCTGATGGACCTCTCCTCAGTATTCATTGATATATCCAAATATTTATTGATATATCCAAGTATTTGATAGTATATATCCATGTAAGTATTGATATACCCAAGTATTTATTGATATATCCAAATATTTACTGATATACCCAAGTATTTATTGATATATCTTAAGTATTTGTTGATATATCCAAGTATTTACTGAAGTATTTATTGATATACCCAAGTATTTATTGATATATCCAAGTATTTAATAGTATATGCAAGTATTTAATATTATATCCAAGTATTTAATATTATACCCAAGTATTTATTGATACATTCAAGTATTTTTTGAAATATCTAAGTATTTATTGATATATCCAAGTATTTAATAGTATGTCCAAGCATTTATTGATACATCCAAGTATTTATTGATATATCCAAGTATTTATTGATATATCTAAGTATTTATTGATATATCCAAGTATTTATTGATATACCCAACTATTTAATAGTATATCCAAGCATTTATTGATATATTTAAGTATTTAATAGTATATCCAAGTATTTATTAATATATCCAAGCATTCATTGATATCTCTCCATTGATCCATTAAAGGCATGAACGATACATTTCATGCCTAATAAACTGGACGGTAAACTGCCTTGTGCCTAGGCCCTAAACTCAGTGCAGCATGGATTGAGATGTTACATTCCCCCTCCCTACCCTCTCACTCCCCCCTTCCTCCCCTCGTACAAATCCCCCTCCCACTCCCTTCATTCTTTCATTCATGCTTTTTACAACGGTTAACGTTTCTAGTTTGAACATATTTTTTTCTATAGGTTAAAAACCAATTTTATATGTGTGTTGTACTTGTAACTTAGAAATAAATGCAATTGATAGACCTGTCACACTTAAGTCATTTTTATTATGGATAATGAAAATTGATATGCTAATTCAAGTTTATTAAAGAGGCCTTCTGTAACAATTATGTTCATATATGTATGCAAAATTGTTGAAGGCCAGCATGCCCAAATCATCATGCCCTTGTTGACACTCCGTGCATTCCGCATGCTGGCATTCTAACCTATGCATGCTTGTTGTAAATAAACAAGACTGAAGGTGAAAGTTTCCTAATTGTTCCGATTAGTCTAATCTTAAGTTGATTACTCCAGGAAGAGCAGTCAAGAAGAACCTGGAATTAAATGCGGAAATTCAAGACAGATCCACATTTTACCGATCCAAGCTCTAACAATACAAATTTTACAGATCCAAGTTCTATCGATACACATTCTACCGATCCAAGTTCTAGTGATTAACATTCTACCGATCCAAGCTCTACCAAGCCACATTTTCACTATCATAGCTCTTCCGATCTGCATTTTACCAATCCATATTCTACCAAGCCACATATTACCGATCCATATTCTACCGATCCATATTCTACCAATCCATATTCTACCAATCCATATTCTACCAATCAATATTCTAGCTAGCTCTACCGATCCACATTTTACGGATCCAAGCTCTTCCAAGCCACATTTACCGATCTAAGCTCTACCAAGCCACATTTTACGTATCCAAGCTCTACCAAGCCACATATTACCGATCCATATTCTACCAAGCCACATATTACCGATCCATATTCTACCAATCCATATTCTACCAATCCATATTCTACCAATCCATATTCTACCAATCTATATTCTACCAATCCATATTCTACCAATCCATATTCTACCTATCCATATTCTACTAATCCATATTCTACCAATCCATATTTTACCAATCCATATTCTACCAATCCATATTCTACCAATCCATATTCTACCAATCCATATTTTACCAATCCATATTCTACCAATCCATACTCTACCAATGCATATTCTACCAATCCATATTTTACCAATCCATATTCTACCAATCCATATTCTACCAATCCATATTCTACCAATTCATATTCCACCAATCCATATTCCACCAATCCATATTCTACCAATCCATATTCTACCAATTCATATTCCACCAATCCATATTCCACCAATCCATATTCTACCAATCCATATTCTACCAATTCATATTCCACCAATCCATATTCCACCAATCCATATTCTACCAATCCAATTTATACCAATCTGTGTTCTACTGCATTAACCATATTTTCCAAATTAAATGCTAGACAATATTACAAACATGGCACAACTAACGTCATTTTAGAGGA